AATTGATAAAGGTATTCGTTTTCAAGTACGCTAATTACTTTTGGGTTCTATGGCATGATAACCACACGAGGCCTCTGTAGTTCATGTGTGGTCAAGTGAGAACATGGGCACAAGGAGTGGTGTGGATGCAGGCAGGAACCTCGACGGACACTGAATAGATGAAAAACTGAGGGGGTGGCTGTGACGATTGTGAGACACGAGGGAGGGATTCGACTTACGCTTTGTTTAAGGAGACCCCGACCGCAGCTCCCTCACTAACAGGATCGAATTTCCAAGACAAGCCCGACAAGGCTGAGTGGTTTCCCTGACTTAGGTCTATCTGCTTACCTGATCAATCGTTGGCCTAGCGTACCATGACACGGATTACAAAAGACCGCCACATTTCCCCTTTCTCGCCGTCAGCCGTCTTCATCACACTGTCAACTTCCACAATTGCCTCCTTCACCCTCAACAGGTTTACTCTAAAGAAATATCTCTGACATAGTACATTATCGAAAATGCAGATCTTTGTAAAGACTCGTAAGCTCGTCCTATCTCTATGAAAAACTTCATGTTTTGTTAGATTTTGTGAAGCTAATAAACTACAGTCACTGGTAAAACGATTACCCTCGAAGTTGAATCCTCAGATACTATCGACAACGTTAAAGCTAAGATCCAAGATAAAGAAGGCATTCCTCCCGACCAACAGAGATTGATCTTTGCTGGAAAGCAACTCGAAGACGGACGGACACTGGCAGATTATAACATCCAAAAAGAGTCGACTTTACATCTTGTCCTTCGTCTCCGTGGTGGAATGCAGATCTTCGTGAAAACACTGACAGGAAAGACTATAACGCTTGAAGTTGAATCGTCGGACACTATTGACAATGTGAAAGCTAAGATCCAAGATAAAGAAGGCATTCCTCCCGACCAACAGAGATTGATCTTTGCTGGAAAGCAACTTGAAGACGGACGGACACTGGCAGATTATAACATCCAAAAAGAGTCGACTTTACATCTTGTCCTTCGTCTCCGTGGTGGAATGCAGATCTTCGTGAAAACACTGACAGGAAAGACTATAACGCTTGAAGTTGAATCGTCGGACACTATTGACAATGTGAAAGCTAAGATCCAAGATAAAGAAGGCATTCCTCCCGACCAACAGAGATTGATCTTTGCTGGAAAGCAACTTGAAGACGGACGGACACTGGCAGATTATAACATCCAAAAAGAGTCGACTTTACATCTTGTCCTTCGTCTCCGCGGTGGAAGCTAAAAATTGTACTTTGATAGTCAAGTCGTTTATGTTCAGGAGTTTGGGACAACTGGGAGAGCACGGATACATTGGAGCATATTCAGGGTTCACGGGCTCGTGACAAGCGTCAATGAAAGTGTAATGATGGAAATTTGAATTAATTTTAACTTCAATTGCATAAGGTATTTCGTCATCATATGAAATAAACTTATAACAAAAATACGAACCGAAGAATTATTCTGGGTTGAGGTTTGTCACTACGAAAAATGTAAGTTGACTAAGTGACATAGCCTAATTTAAAACTAACGCGACCAAAGAATGGGCGTTCGTTTATTTCGGAACTTATAGTACACGTAGACTTTATATCTAGGTCCTGCGTCTCTGTAGCTCAGTGCTATGGATGTTTCATAGCTGAAACTTCCCTAAACCCCACATAGTGCTCCCTTCCATCACCACTTCTCATTGTAAGCCTTAAATTTATCTTATACGTAAAGAGGTGACCATTAACTCTAAACCGAGTAAGAAAAACGGCTTTGTGCTAGCGGGTGGAAGCAGGAAAATTCTGAAATGCCACCGGTTGTGGGGTATCTGTATTCTTAAGTCTAGGACCGGATCCGAAGACATAGCTGTAATACTGAAGCATGAGGAAAGGCCGATGAACCGTTCACTTTAGATCCGTGCGTACTGAGCACTGTCGCTCTCCATAACTTGTATCCTCTAATATCCTTGATCACAAAGGCTTGATCCTCGATGTGTATGTGAAAAAAGGTTGGATCAATCAAGTATAAAATGATTGAAAAATAATGTCTTTCGTTTGGATTCTAGAAGTGGCCCCTGATTCTAGCCTTACTAGAGACTAAAATACAACTCTGACCTTACATGAAGTCCTTCATCTATAACTTATAATAAATTGAATATCATGCTGGAATTAGGGAAAAGGCTTATCAGAAAGTGCATGTAATGCAGTATAGGCAATCTTTTTTGAGCCATCTTGTGTATAGTTTTAGGATGTAGGGGGACCAAACTCAACGCCTGTCAGCGTTGTTACCTATGAATCTCCAGTTCTCACAATAGAGTTGATTAAGCCCAGATTGACTAACTCCTTCGCCCTCATTCCAATGAAGATTCCTATTTGCTCTCACACTCTATATCTTCATATCTCAGCATGAGACCCTAGTGTGGATCCTAAAAGTAGCTGGCTACGTAATGTAACATGGATTACTAAGTGTGGTTAGCCTACAATTAGTAAGCTACGCACAAAGTGTGGAGTTGGGAGTCACGTAGACACATGAATGAAGTCTATCTTAACTCAAGTTTAACTATTTCATTCTGCGGAATTAGCTTTAGTAGAGCCACGAACTATATTTGTCACCATCCTGTTTCAATTGTGATCGATCGAAACCCACACTAGCACCATTATCTCATGGAATGATAACAGGAGTTAGAATTATGGATTACAATTAGCATTCAAATCTTGCAGGCCTAAGTAGGGAAAGGTAACGAAACAGTAAAATACGTGTATGTAAATAATAAAGCGTAGTCTTAAGTCAAGTTGCCTTCTACACGCAGCGTCTTCTCATTATTAGTCTCATTCTAGAAATTCTTCTCTTTCTTATGAAGACTACTTCGAGCCCATACTCTTATCAGATCACGACGTGCCATATATCTCTCATTGTGGAAGACCTTGACCCCCTATTTACTCCCAATTTTACCCTCTGGACAAATAGCATACACACTCCTCGACACAATATGATGAAGCTGACCGCAATTCGATCATAGGTCATGCTTGGAGGTTCTACTGGTAAGTACTGAGCTGAATGAATATCTATCGTGGGCATTATATTAGTGTTATTTGTTGGTACCAGTAGAGGATATGAGTATTGCACAAGATGTGGCATATGTCAGAGGATCCCAAGGTGCGGGTTAGGTTTAGACTTGAGCATCACGATCTAATCAAATTAACGTCAAAATTATTTAGTGATTAGGAGGGACAATTGCTGATAAAGGGCTGGCAAATGATTAATGGCGAGCTGAATCGACGATTTTATATTGAAAGCGTACTCTGCGCATTCTGAATGAAGTCTGAGGTGGTCCGGTCATTCAGATCGGTCGAGGTAGATGTGCTTTACTGTAGTTAACCTGATCCGGCTCGGCTCCACTAGTGTTTAAGCTCCAGTAGGAGTGCAACGGTAGTCACTTTACCTAGCATGTTAATGAACAAGCAAACAAATCTCAGAAGCTTGCCAGCTACTTTCATGTAGTGGGTGCATTCGCTGATACCACTCGAGACCTTTGCGCTAGGGACTTTCACTCTTCTCTCAACCGTTAGTATCCCCAAAAGGGAAAGTAAGAAAAACATTTAAATACCCTAACATGCCTTTTTCATCTTGTATATAGCTGCCGCGCGAGATATGGCCTCACAGTCCTCCCTTTCTCGAGTGAGGTAGGTGTCCAAGCTACCCAGACTTTAATTCGGGGTGATGACGACCTGGAAGCGGATCAAAACACCTTCCGTCGATGCCTATTCTTTGAGTGTTGGTTGCACTATCCGAAATCATTGCCTCTCCGACCACAGACACCCGTAAGTCGAAACTCGAAAAATGTGCGTCCCAGCATGCCCACTTGTGACCTCTTCACTCGTTCGTCCCACGTCCCAACTACCCAGCCATTCTCAAGATGTGGAATCCAAATAGAGCAACGGTTCCCCATAGACCAAGACCCGAGCTTTGTAAATTATGACTGAGTTTGGGTTGGATGGTGCAGTGGTACACCATCCAGGCCGTTCTCCCAAGTAGATACTAGGTAGCTTGAACACCTACTCCATTCGAGACAGGAGAAAGCTGGTTCGAATCCAGTCAGACCCACACACCACACTCTCTCGCGTTGATAATGTACTTATGGGACGATGAAAGCATACTCGGATAGCCACAGGGTTTTCACGCTTTTCCCTGTGGTGGGTATACACGAAAGAGGTTATACGCCGTAAGGGTTAACCTCGAGTGATATCTGCAAATGAAATCTGAGTGTGAGTGTTCTATATGTCAAGTTGAGTCATCCTACTTCAAGTTCATATCTTCCGATAAAAACCTGCATGGGCCTCAAGTCGCCAAATCAGGTAAAATGAAATATATATATGACTGAGTTTCCTCCTCGCAGGTAAAAATAGCATAGTAACTTTATAGTGGGAGATGGTCGATTTTTGATAAGGTATATTCCAGTTAGCTAATGGTGCGACCACTTTATCAGGTATCGAGGCGAGTTAATTCGTTGTATGAGTATGTTGAAGGACTCGCGTGATAAAGATAGGACCGAGATTGATGAGAATTCATCAATTTCAGAGATGCTTAAGACTGCTTTCGCCTTTGATTTAGACGCAGTTCTTCTATGCTATCCCAGATATGTAAAGGATACTGAGGGGTTACAGCTGGACCGCTGGAAGGTGGAGAATTCATCTTTGCCGGTATTCCGAACTGAAGATGAAAGGTCATTAATTAATGCGTAATTATTTGTAACAGGGGGCATTGGCCATTCAAGGAATATGGACGTCCCCTGTCAAAAGTGACGTATGTAAATTGCGGTTGAACTTGTACTAGAAATTAGATAAGATTTCACGAAATCTCGCTTTGAATGCAACTACAGATCACCCTTAACTATTGCTTGATGAAAATTATACTTCTACAACCTTTTGGAAACAGTCAAACCATTACATGATTAAAGTCAACGATGAAGGACAGAAAAAACTACTGCTCGTAGATATGAAAAAATTATGCACCCGAACTACTACTATCATCTGAAATTCGAACTATATCAATTTAATTCCTCCTCGGATAAAGCAGAGAGTATAGAAAAGAAAAAAAAAGACTGTGAAAAAGGCCTATGGATACCTCCGTCAAGTAGTGACATTTTCAACTCAGTGAACTGGCCTGGAAAAGATTGGGAACATACCTTGTCAAATCTCAAAGCTGAGAAAGTAATAGAGTGTGACAGCCCGCTTGGTACGGTTAAGAAAAATAATAAAGTCTCAGGAATAATTTACTATCGAAATTCATTTCATGGGAGAGATAAGGAAGAAAAATTAGGTACATTTGATAGTAAATGGAACAATAGTCCTGGATCTAGATTGAATCCTAGAAACACTGTTAAAGATTGTGGCCCTAATAGAGCTGGAAAGATAGAAAACAAAGCTGCCAAAATTAAAGCTACCGAAAGCGTAAAAACATATTCCAAAAATTGTTTACAATCTTTAGAACAAGAGTCGACGAAGAGAAGGTTTTCACTAGCGAAAAAAGACTGGAGATTCGGACTAGTCGTGATAGTCAGCATAGATGAAGGAATGACCTCCTATACGAAAGATATGAATAACTCTGTTAAGAATGGGACCGGAAAACATAACCGTCTAGATTATGAAAGGGGAATAACGGATAGCTTATCAACTGAAGATGATCGTATGAGAGCTGTTAAGGCAAATTTGGAGCTGATTCAGGGGAAAGATACAAAAATGGGATGGGGAATAGTACATTTCTACCGAGAAGGTGATGAGACGCCATTATCTGAATTTAAGAGAGATGATCTAGAGGCAGAAAAGAAGCAGTGTACTACTCTTTGTATACCCGCGGTACCAAGTTATCTTACGGCTTCATATTTTCTTGATTGGGTTGGGGAGAAAACGAGAGAACAAGTCAGTCATTTTCGAATGGTGATGACGGGAGAATTAACTAGATATCTGGCACTAATGAAATTCCGCGATGAAAAGGCCGCAAGATTGTGGAAAGAAGAATGGGATGGAAAATTATTTAAAAATACGGAGGTAGGCTTGCAGCTTCTCCAAGTACATTCCAATAGAAAAGCTTGTTAATTATTTTATAAGCCAGAAATATGCCACGTCGTTTTCATCAAAAGTATAACCTTTAACGCACCACCAGTCGATATTGCCACCCAATCATCTGCCAGTTTTCCATTTTCGACTCATGACTCTTTTACGCCTTCTAGTATAATAAAACCAACAGCTTCTTTAATTGAACTTCCGACTTGTCCCGTCTGCTTGGAGCGTATGGATGAGACATCCGGCCTCCTCACCATACTATGTCAACACATGTTTCATTGTGCCTGCCTTTTGAAATGGAAAGATTCATCTTGCCCTGTTTGTAGGCATACGAATTCGTCTCAAAAATTTAGCCAAGAAATGCCTTTTGGCTCAGGAAAAGCGTCACTCTGCAGTACATGTGACTGCGATGATGATCTCTGGATATGTCTTATCTGCGGAAATGTTGGTTGTGGACGCTATAAAGGTGGCCATGCCAAGGAACATTGGAAGGCCAGCTCGCACTGTTTTGCTCTAGAAATTGAGACACAGCACGTATGGGACTACGCCGATGATGTATGGGTTCATCGACTAATCCGTGATAAAGGCGACAGCAGTAAGATTATTGAGCTACCTAGCCATACCAGCGGTAATATGATTGATTCTCATCGTAGTCTTAGCGAGCAAGATATGGTACCGCGCAGTAAACTGGATGTTCTTGGCATAGAATATACACATCTTCTTACATCCCAACTTGACTCTCAACGGAATTACTATGAAGCACTTGTCAACGAAGCCACTTCTAAGGCTACTTCTGCCTGTTTAGCAGAAACTTCGGCGACCAAGGCGGCATCTGAAGCTCTTGCAAAATTACGCTCGCTAGAAGATGACTATGCTACTATTCAGTCTAATCTAGCAGCCCAAAGTCGCGACCTTGAGCGAGAAAAGCGCAAAGCTGACAAAAGTGCTGAAATGGCCCGTGAATTTAGTAATAGTCTTGTTGAAGAGCGGCGTGTAAGTGAGGGTCTTATGAAGCGAATTGAACATCTAAATTCGAAGCTGGCAAGCACTACACTAGAGCAAGAGGTCCTTAAATCAGAGATCTGTGAGCTACAGAGCACGAACCACGATCTTCTATTTAATCTAAGCGTAGGCGAAAAAATGCGAGCCATGGAGGCCAGTGGAGAAGCTGGCTTAGCCAAAGGAGAACTAGAGGCAGGCATTGTCTGCCTACCAGATCCACAGCCGGAAGAAGTAGAAAAAAGACGTCGAAAATCACGCGGCAAAGGAAAGAAGAAATAGTTGCAAATTATAACATTGTAATTTATTACCGTGGACCAGAATCGCCGATATTTTTTCCGTAACACTTGCATATTGAAACCAAGAGCGTACCTTGCTAGATTTTTATCTAGACAGATAATTTTCTCTCACTAAGCTACAGATGAGCTATTTGTGGGGGAAAAAGAAAATCAGAACAACTTCTATACCCCACTATAGCCTCGCCTTGTTTGGTTCAACGGAACTAAGCTGGGTTGTTTATGTTCAATGATGACAACCCGTATAGAAGCCTGGTACTCCAATATGTACGGTTGCCCCTTTGTGCTCATTTCATAATTAATTCTTCGTTAACCAGCACTTTTTCTCCTTACGTATCGTATTACAAGCTCCTCTTTTATTATTGTAGTGACTGTCACGGGAAGTAGTTAAGCATAAATCCAGATGTTCAAAATATTTAGTATCTAACTTAATTCTTCTATTTATTCTAAGATTATATAAGGAGAAATACATCTTGCCTAAAAGCTACGAATATCTTTATTCAGTGATTGCATTCCCCTCTATACTCCCTTTGTGATCTCTGTTCAGCAGTAGTAACTACGCAGGACTTCACTCGAGGATACACTGAGGAACTGTTGTAAATATGATCTATGTGTTATTGATATAGTTATAATTATAATTACAATTATCCTTCTATCAGTCTATGCCTCGGTAGGACATACAGGTCCTCTCTATCTACAGACCTAGAATACCTATGCTACCAGTTTATCTCTTCCTATGCATTTCATGTAGCTCCCCTTAAACAGTATCACCTCTCACAAGTCCTCATTCTATCATACCCTTAGAGCAGCTCTTTGCCCTTCATTATCTCCCCTCTACAACCAACGAAACGATGACTATTTGCGGGTATATGGCAGCCGAGGAAAATCGCAAAAACCACTGGGAGCGAGGCTCTTCTAATACCAACATTAGGAATAAATCCGAAGACATAGTGATCATTCTGAAGCGTTCGAAGAGGGCATTTTCATGAAGGAATCTATCGTGATAGGCACTGAAGTCGCCGTGTCCGGTACGGTACTGAATAACATACTCAAAATAGCGGCGAGTAAGTCCAAGCTCATTGGGAGGGTTCTTAAGAGATGGTAACCCTAGCTCGTAACAAGTGGAAGTAGCATGGCATTGCCATTTTCTTTGCGGTGGCTGGAAAGATAAGAATACCAAGGACTTGTTCCTCACTATCTACAAGAAAATATTGGGAATTAAAATGGTTGAATATATCGAAATTTATTAGTCTCTTTAATGTAGAAACTAGAAGTCCTCTATAGTCATAGACTCAGATAGGACTATAATAAAATCTAATTGATAAGAATATTGTTGGGATATTGAGAAAGTATAGTCACGGGAGTAAGATAATGCAGATAGTAATATGCGATATGTGAGGAATGTATGGATGTAGGACTAAGGGTGTGTAGTGATAAAGGTGTTATGTACTAATGATGTGGACACCTTACACTTGACCAACTAGCTGACTAAGCAGCATTTCCTGACAAATATCTACTGAATAACTGATCACGTGAATCTAAATTGCAGTCAGGGCATTTGCTCGACCCCCTTGGCTGAACTCTTATAAGTTGATTCTCAGAATTGATAGAAGTCGCACTGTCAATGCGCCAGTTTTCCTAATTGGAGTCATCATAACTAGGCCACACTTATTTCCATTCCGCACAAACCACAATTCATCAATCCCAAGACGTTGAAGCCAACGAATTTGTACCTTGAAGATGTGGTCAAAACGAACTTGAATTCGCGTAGTTCAAAGGCTTTTCACATACAAAGAATAGCACATGCACAGTGATGAAGCCTAATAGAAAAAATGGCCTGATCACAAATACTCGACACCAGAAGGATTTAAACCATGCTAACTCGACCCAGAAACCATATGAACTAGATCAGCAATGTGTCTCTAGGTCACCACATAATCTTACATTCAGTGCCAACGGATCAATTGAGACTAACGTCCAAGGGTTGGTGAAAGAAAACGATCGGCCAAAAGTGGTCCTCCACAATACGCAATCTCTTGACATGAATCAACAAGTTTCTAATTCCAAGACACCTGTATGTGGATAATTAAAGCTGATTCATTGCCCTGACTAGCCTATACGGCAACAAAACCACTCATTTGGCTGACAAAATGTCCCAAACTAGTTTGCCCTTGAGCAACCCTCCGAAATTAAATCCATCAACTCAAAGCTTCGCCCAACAGCTCCACAGATCAGTTCAAGAGCTGCTGAGCTTAAGGCACAGTTGCTTGCGCGACGTGCTAGCTCCGTAAATTCGCAGAATAGGAAGTCAAGTCCTAACCTCACTACGAGTGGTGGGAAGCAGGATCTACCTGCACGACCAAGCCCGAAAATTAAAAATCCCAAAGGAAATTCATCCGCCAAGAAGGATAAAAAGGAGCTAAATCTCAATGAACTTATCTTACAATATTCAGTCTCTGAACCTGCAGCTGAGCTGAAATCTAACACCAAAGAACCTGCTAGATCACCCCCAAAATCTAATAATACCAATGTAGAACCAATGATTCAAGAATTGGTAGAAAATAATGAGCCTTCACAAAAAAAAAATCTGACTAGTCAAGAGCCACTTACTGTCACAGAAATTAAAGATGACCTTCAGAATATACAGAAAGACTATCATGCAGACATTGAACTCAAGGGAGCAGCCTCAGATGCCTCTGAAGGCGAGATTTTTGAGGATGCGGATACAGAAAAACAAGAACCTGATTTACCCAAGCTAATAGATAAGAAGGATAGTACAAATATCACGAGATCTAGCGATAACTCGTCCAGAAATCATCATGGAGACACTCCGATTGATGTTCCTCAATATCGAGTCTTGGAAAAGGTTGGGATTCGGCACAGTCCTCATCCAGCTCCTTCATTACATTCGACACCAACAATTCAGAATAACAGGATTGCAGAGACTGATTATCATAGACAGAAGCAACCATACTCAATCGAGCAAAGTTATGAGATTTCTCAAAACCAAAATTCAGGGAAACAAGAGCATTTTCAACCTCCTCACTCGGGATATTATAACATGTCTGAAGTAAAAATAGGATTTGCTCGAGCTGAAAATAGCAGAGAAAGGCTAATCCCAGAGCCCAGACCAATTTTCCCATCACTTATTGATGAATCTGTTCCTCATAATGCTGACTTGAGAGAATGGCTAGAAATTACCGGATTTCACGATGCACAGTACCGAAACAAAATCTTATCTCGACGAAGAGCTATAGCGGCGCTCGATGCTCAGAAAGAAAGGTTGCTTGCAGAAATCGAATCTGAGGTGCGAGGAAGTTTACCAACCGCCCTCAGAGCTCAGTTACCACCTTCATCTATGCTGCCTCCACCAATACCTCGCTACAAGGCAGAGCACCAAAATGAAACCATAACAACGGATACCACCACACCTCCTATAAATGATGACTTCTACCGTGTATCATCGAATAAACGTTTCTACAGTCAGAGTCAAGAGCCCCGGATAGATACTGGCCCTAGTAAGGTAGCGCGAATTCATGAAAAAAATTATGGCCCAAAAGTAAGGGAAGAGGAGATTTTTGATGACTGTCGCTCTAGGTTTGGTGGATATAGTATCACCAATCCGTATAGCTTTAACCGCCATGATTGTGTAGTCCCACGCTATCGCTTGATGAGCTCATCTAGCTTTCGCAATTATAACAATTCGCAGGAATGTTTAGTAGATGAGCACAGGATACCAACTCGTTTTGCAGTTTACGAAAACGATTTCTATGACGACGAAGATATTTCTGAAACTGGATCTCGACCAGTTGAAGTGCGTGGAAATTATAGAGGTCGCTCATTTGATCCAAACCATCGTGGCCGCGGACGGGGACGGGGACGAGGTGACTTACAAGAACTTCGCGGAAGTCCTGAACCGAGGCTTGGAGTTCCTTCTAGCACCAGAACATCAAATGGAAAGCCTAACAGGAACTTTACTGGCGGTAGTAGAGGATCTAGAGGAGGTCTTTCGTAAGACTTGCGTTTTCGTATCTGCATATCCCTTGTCTTTTCGCTTGTATTTAAGCCATAGTCTAACGAGACAGTGTATATACGTATTTATATGTATATATACATACTCATGAACAAGTTTCTTATTGCTCGACAGAATTGATTAATAAGACGGATCTATTATGTGTTTGCAGAATTCGGTCCACTCATTGATTGCCTTTACTATCGAACTCGGGAATCCATTCCCTGTGACTTGAGTCTTCTTGATGCCAGGCACCTGTCGCCCCTCTACTGGAGCCAGAGTGCGAATGAAGAGATCCAAATCAATATTTCGTGAGGGAAACATGGGTCTACCTCACAGCAGTCACATGAGACGATGTTAGAATAAAAGACAACTACAGTGTAGCCGAGTCTATGCTTTTCCCCCATGACTTGATCTCAGATGGCAGATTCACCGTCACAAAAATTCATTTTTATTGCTAGGATAACTGAAATCCCGGACCATCTACCATAGCAGACCGTGAGACGCGAGCTAAGATTCCAAGTAAGCTTGAATCCACTTCCAGCAGGCAACTTACCTCGCTATCAGTCGTCAGGGTAATTTATTTAGATGATATACAGCAACAGCAATTATAAAGGACTTGAGGGAGAGCTCGACATAATCACGTGATAAATATTGCACAAATAATTTTTTGTTCTAGGTCCATGAGATCCGTAGAGTACTTATGACTTATTTTGGTTGTTCGAGGTGCATGGCAGGCTGGCCTTGACCCATTTATTATGCGTAGGGCTTATTTAAAAGCGTTGGCACGTCGGGTAGTTTATATAGATTGAGCTGGCCAACAAGAGGCCCGACTATTGTGATGTGTGCTAGCGCGACGTTCAACAAAACGCAAACAACCAACCGCATAACTCGAGAAATTCGAGATTTCTATTTTTCCCTTATTCTATTCCTCTCGATCTCGTCGTGTCTCTCTTTGAATTGTGATCGAGCTTCTGGCATTTTCACCATGCCTCCAGTTCGCAAAAAGCGTCTCAACGCCAAGTTCGACAACACGAGAGTCCACCCGAGGGCTCTCGAACAATTACCAGGCCTTGCCCAGTTTTCAAAATGTGTAGAGATGAGCAAGGCCTTGAATAGGGGGAAGGCAAAAGCCCTACCTGCCGTCGCTGAGCCCGATACTGACATGATCGGGTCAGTTGAAATTGTTGAGGAAATTCCTCAACCATCCTCCGTTCCCCACGGGATTGGAGAGTCGTCAAAATCTCATCCCACCGTGTCAAAACCGTCAGAGACATAGCTGCGGCAAATGCAGCTTCGACGAAAGAGTCGCTGCCTAAAGCTGTCACGAAAGCAGACTGCCCGCCCGAACTTCGACCAATTGTCAAAGCCGAACAACGACGCTCCGCCGAAACAGCGGCAAACCTGTCACTCTGTTCCGCCACTATTGCGCATTACATGGCCTCGGGCCCAGCCTCCACGCCACCCGTTCTCCCTCATCGCTCGGCGAACCCCCTCCCAAGAGCCCCCGAACCAGTGCGGCCAACAAAAAGCGCCTGGGCCACGGTAGCTAGAGATGGACTGCGACAAAAAGCAGTCCCAACATTAAAGGCTGTGCCGTAACCTGCGGCAGAGGCCTCGAAGAAAGACGCCCCGAAGGCGAAAATCGAAAAACGACTGTTCCTTCGCCTAGAAAAGGATCACCCGTAGCGAAAGTTATCCACCAGCATCACGAGAAGCAATGTGGAGTCCATATTCCACTACTTAAACGATAGTATAACCTCGTTTCATCGAGTGAAGACCGGCTTTGCTATGTCAGCAAAGAACGAAAAAATGCGACAAAAGATGCTGGATGCCTCTTCGACGCTGGCGAGTGAAAACGCCAAACTCGAAGCATCATCGGACCTTGTCGCCTTATAGATACCGAATGTACCTGTAAGTATAGATACAGAGCACAGCCTTAGAGCAACCGATGCCGAGTGAGTTTCCCTCGCGATCGCCCTTACGACCGGCGTAACACCATTTCAGGTCCGATAACATGAGACGTGCCGGCTTAGGACACCGTATCGCAACTGGCATACCCTCTTCAACTGGGATTCCGCCCCTCGTGTGGGCTTCCATCTCGTCGACCAATCGAACATTAAAAACGCTGTTTGGGCTTTCACGCTACCCGTCGTTGCTCCAGCGCTCTAGCCCGCTAGAACTGCGGATCAAGAATGTACTCAGAAATAGAGTGCAAGGCCCTCACTAGATATCGCAACTGTGGGGGACCCCACCGATCGGATTCCCGGGACTGCCAGGCCAGATCCGGAAAATTCAGACCGGTGACCAAAGAGCAGCTCGCGTGGATCCGCAACATCGAGCAAGGGAAGTTCGCGGATGTGGCACGAGCTCGGGCTGCAGCCAAAAGGGCCGAAGAGGCGATCATCGCCGCGGCGAAGGATGTCTCGATGGCCGATGAAACAGGTTTCGGAGTGCTGGAATCTGAAGAAGAAGAAGCGTGAGGGAAAAGCAACCTCGACGATGCCACTTAGGCATCTACTAACCAATAGCAGGATACCGGCTGGATCAAAGGTGCCTGCTAACCCATCTTTTGCTCTCAGCGGAGAATGGGTAAATTTGTCATTTTGAAGGTGTGACAGAGGATGGAATATGCGAAGTATGCATTGCTTCGGTCCAATATGGAGGAATCTTCTGGCTTTCGGAGTTGTTTTGATTTTTGGGGGTTTTGGTTGCAGTTTTAATCAGCCGCACCTTTAGCAAAGATTCACGAAATTGGAACGATTTAGGCTGTAGAAAAAATTACAGAGAACCTTCACGGCTCCACCGGTCCTACACCCATGGTGGACACAGAGCTTTAGCTTAGGATCTATTGATATATACGACCAAAGCCGACAATCTCGGCCGGCAATGAACGGACACAATCGTGTCTAAAACCATCAGGCCTCGCGCAAAGAATTTCAAGCATGTTTGAGAGTGAGACCTTCGTCCGTGGGAAGTCTGTAAACCTTCCCGATAAAGAGATGACTGGTTCTGAGCTAGTCAGGTCAGTAATAATTGGTCCCGAGACCTACACTCCCATCGAGCTTGCCCCAGATGTAAGCAGCTCCAGTGTAGGTAAAAGGATCATACTTTTGCAGTGTGAATTGTTCTATATAGTTGCGGTATTCAAGATGTCGTTAGGACACTGACAAGGATCTGACTTAGCTCATTAGCGAGAGGTTTGGAGTAGAGGAAGATAGGGGAGAGACAACGTTACATGTGTTTCGAGATACCAGTTAATTGATATTATTCACCGACTTCGTGATGGACAGCTGACTTCATGAAGGAACCCAATTTGTATTACTTCGTGTTTTACCAATATCCAGGAAAGAAAAGGAAGTTGTCCGAGACAAAGCTACTGGACCTGCAGAGGCCTCTGCAAGAAAGTACGCTGTGACAGCCTCCAAAGGCGCAGTATCGACATCAGCAATGGAATTTCGTCCAGAGCTGCAATCAGTGATGAAGGCTGAAAAGCATTCTGTGACGCAAATTAAGGCCCGCCTCGCAATCTGTTCCACTGAAACAAGCGGTGATGAAGAAGCACTTTTGCCTCTCTCAATTGGCGAAGAAAAAGAATTTGTAGACGGCATCAAAGTCTACCTTCGAGCGGCCATTGGCCAGTTCGTACAATCAGGCCCAGGGAGCGCTCCACTAGTTCTCCCTGTCCGCCCCAGCAACCCTCCTCCACCGAGGGCTCTTGAAAAAAGGGTACCTAACCCACCGACAACCCAGGCTCCGGCCCAAAAGACAACTTGGGCCGTCAACAAAAAAGGCAGTACCGCCCGCCACTAAAGCAAAGAGTGCCAACTCGAGAACAGCAGCCGATACGCGACTGTTTCGACGACTCGCCTTTAACCGCCTCTGCCGACTCCTGTCACCAGCTGGTGTAAGTTCAGCTGTGTCAGAGATACTCGGCACCGCAGCCAACAATATTACGTCGGTTCAGCGGGTAAAAACAGTCTTTGCACTGACAGCAAGTGATGAGCTCTCCCGAAAAGAGGTCCTGGATTTCTCCGCTATACAGAAGGAATCTAGTTCAAATCTAGAACAAGCATCTAACCTAGTTGCCACACAAATTACCACCGTCTCGGTGAGAATTCGAGCACCTGCAGGCCCTATTGAAATTTCGGCAAAGACGGTCGCCGATGAAGTCACGCAAGTGACCAATCTGATTCCTGCTCTTATTCGTCCCCATGGGACCTGCAAGCCCGGGACGTCTTACCCAAACTAGCAAGCGCTCTTCCCTCGGGAATCCACGCCTTGAACTGGATTTCCGCGTTTCGACTATTCTAGAGCTGCAAAGCTTTTCCAACCTCGTCTAAAAATAGTTCAGTACAAACGGTATCTTGGCTTTCATGCCACTCGCGGATGCTCCCGCTTTCTGGATCGCTGGAACTGCGGATCAAATATGCACTCGGAAGCAAAGTGCAAAGCCCCCATACGGTGTAGAAACTGTGGGGGACCTCACCGCTCGGATTCATGGCTCTGCGAAGTTAGAGCAAACAAGTTCGGCCCGGTGAAAAAAGAGCAGCTCGCAATAATTCGCAAGGTCGAGCAAAAAAGGCTAGCGGATTATGCTCGTATCAAAGCTGCAGCCGAAATAGTCTGCGAGGCGATTTACGGCTTGAAGAAAGATGTCTACATGCCAGATAGATCGGGTTGCGGAATTTTGGAATCCAAGGAGGAGGTTTAAGGTTATAGCGAGCCTATCTTTTGCTCTCAGCGAAGGTTAGAAATTTTTACTTGGAAGATATGACAGGAAAGAGAACGGGCGAGAAGCATAGGATCCGGACCAAACTGGGATTTCTTCTAAATTTGATTTTTGTGTGTGTGTGTTTTATTGTACTACTTGAGTCTATTACTATCTAGCACATTGGGCTCTTCTCTGACCCAGGCCACACCTTGTACAGTGCTCCTATCCTCTTTTGTTACTTGAAAGATCATTGATATATTCCCCGTGATGAATAGCCATTCAGCTCAGT